TTTAGCATTCCTCTTCTATATATGAACACAATTTGATGCATTTTATTCCATGTTTCTTACTCTTGTACATTTGATTGGCTTACGGCGACTTTTGCAATGTTATGGATCTTTAAATATATCTTTAATACACGGAGGAATAAGAATAACTCATATATTTCCATAACTCAACAATAAGTATAACCATGGTTACACTGCCAAGTGTAACTTTAGCATGCGATTCCCGCTAATCAGTTTTTTAAAGTTTTTAACTTCTAAATTAAAATTATTTTAACCACTATTTTAAACTACTAAATATATCTTCGAAACGGTTAATGCTACATGATTTAAATTTTTACCAAGTGTTAAGAATGTTATTATCTAAATAATTAGGTAGAATTAAAAGATTTTTTTATTTCCACAGAAAACCAATTTTTTTAATTACAAAATAACCCATAAAAAAATAATTAATAAAGATACTGATATAATTCTACCTAAATATTTAGAGGGCATTATTCCCTGCAAACTGATGGTTTAATGATTAAAATCAAACAATTAGAATTGAAGTTATATCAAATTTAGTTAATTACCTAAAAAAACACACACACAAAATATTAAGGGTGTACTTAACGAAAAAATTTACTTTTAACTATGTTTATACCTATTCTTATGCATATAAAACACATTGTATAATTTTGAAAGACCTAGTGATAATGTTAAGGAAGTTAGCTTTTGCACTGCCATATCCCCTTAAGGTGGGTCATCCTTAAGGAGGCGTATCCTTAAGGAGGGTTATCCTTAAGCAGGGTCATCCTTAAGGAGGAGTATCCTTAAGGTGGCCATCCTTAAGGAGGGTTATCCTTAAGGAGGGGTATCCTTAAGGAGGCCATCCTGGTTAAAATTCCATGGGTAAAAATCTGGGGGTAAAAATCCGTGGTAAAAATCCGGTCGGTAAAATTCTGGGGGTAAAATTTCGGGGTTTAAAAATCCGGGCCGTACATTTAGAGCTGACCTAATGAAGGGGGTAAAAGTCCGGGGGTAAAATTCCGGCCCGTACAATCTAGGTTTTTATAATTTTTATGTGTTCTGATTAAATTTTCAACCGTGAAAATATACGTTTATTCCGCGTTTAATCCATCGATCTGATGTCGCGAAACTTAAAAGTTCGCGGCCGGAATTTTACCCCCTGGTTTGTGACACGTTCGCCCAGGGGGTAAAATTCCAGCGAACTTCAACTAGGACGTGATTGAGCCATGCGAACGAGCTCATCTTGAAAATGAACGAGCATTTGACATAAAACCACATTAGGACAGGACGACGTCCGTCGGGCCAGCTAGTAAGGTAATAAGTTCAAAGAATAACACACAAATAAGAACAGCTGAGATATTTTAACATTAAGTATATGGAAAGTTCCCTTTGGAAAGCAATTATGACCTTAAAGGGCAATTTATGAAAAAAATGGATAGTTTTGCGCAAGGTTTCTCGTAATGACGAACATTTTATGGTTTATGAAGGGTAAACGCAGAAGTAGACTGCGCAAGAATTAAACGCAAAGAAGTTAACTTTTGCCTTATGGTTGAGGCAAAACCCTACACATGAATACAAAATTTCACATCTATTTAAATAAGTACATGTATATAAATTACAAATTGCTCAAGCCGAGCAATGAGCATGTAGTTTAGGTGTAACAATTAATGTAAATTTGGTAAGAGTTATTTCAACATACGAGGTAAAGCCAAGGATTAGAATAACATTGGAGCAAGTGCAAACAAAAAAATTGCGGAACAATAATTTTCATAACGTCGTAAAAAAACCCACGTGTTGTTTTACACTACATATTCTACCTTCTTTAAGTGATGAAAACTATAAAGATAAAATTAGAAAAAACTAGACTTTTAAAACCACACTTCTATTTTCAACAACTCATATAAAACTATTATGACAACAACAAAACAAAACCAAACCATATGACAAATAAATTAAATCAAAGTTAATATTCATCATATATACAGACTAGGAGATATAACATCCTCCCACCGAGTAGTATTACTACTCAAACATGAACCTTTTTGGAACTTTGATTTTTCGTCCAGCTTGTGAGACGTGCTCCCACCGTGGCGGTTGATAATTCCAACCTTGGAATCGTGGTTTTCTTCAGAGGAGCTACTCTTGATTTTGCCGACAATAATTGGACTCTTACTTCATCTTCAATTTCAACTCTCAAGTAAATAACTGTAGCATAGGCATCTTATACTTGTGTCGCAAAATGTATGAATACTACAACCATTTGAATCCATAGTCATTTTACCTATCCATCGGGGTATTTTCACTTTTCCAAGAGCGCTTAGCTCATTATACCACAGTATGAATAGTTTACTGATGTCTGAACTTACTTCAGTGTCCCAGTCAATTTTCAAGTCCCACATACTTTGCAGAAGAAGTTTAGGAAACAAAGTAACAGGGCAAAGGATACCAATTGGATCAAAGATCTTGTGAGATATGGATGAAATGTCTCTCTTTGTGATTCGAGACACGTCCAAATCTTTAATACAGTTCGTCAGGTTAAAAAACAGAACGTCCTCAATATAGTTCCATTGAACTCCCAAAACATTAGTGACGAACTTGGTATCTCCTTCTTCAATGACGCTCGTGGCATGCCATCCTCTTAAATCAAACTTAGCGGCAGCCATAACTTGTTTCGATTCTTCAACAAAGTGTTTTAGTTCCTCATAAGTATCTACACTGGTCGAAACATTGTCCACGTAAAAACTTTTACTCAGCTTCTTTACCACATTATCATCATACTCCTGAGAAGTCATAGATTTTTGAAGATGCAGATCAATTACTGCCCCTAGAAGAAATGGACTACATTTCACTCCAAAAACAACTCTTTTATGGCGGTAAACAATACTTCGGCTTCTTTCATTGATGTCAAACCATAAAAACCGAAGAAAATCTCTATCTTGTACATTTAACGATATCTGTAAGAAGGCTTTTGCTATATCAGCAATAACTCCAAACTTCCCTTCCCTAAAACGCATCATAACAGAAGGAATCAGTTCAATTAAATTTGGTCCATTTTCAATACAGTCGTTCAATGAGGGTGAAAACTTGGTCTTTGCTGATGCATCAAACACTGGACGAATTCGTGTGGTAATACTACTCTCCTTCACTACAGGTCTATGTGGCAGGTAGTGAAAGTTGTTGTTCAAATCGTCAGAAGGTACAGCTTCAATGATGCCATCACTTAACCACTGTTTAAAAACTGAGTCATAGTCTACGGTAAAATTGTTACCATCCAATTTCTTTACAACTGTTGATAACCTCTTTTCGGCTAACTCTCTGTTACTAGGCAAAGGAGGATGACAATCAACCCAGGGCAAACTTACTTCATATCGACCTTCTTCATTTATAGTGGTAGTTTTTATAAAATGATTTTTAACTGCCAAAGCCTTTTGCTCTTTGGAAACTGATTCACTTGTATCAGTAATGCCTATAGTGTCTAATCTCCACAGTTCCGATATGTCAGCATCATTAATAAACATTGATGTTACAACAGTGGAGAGTGTAGTTGAACCTGTACTACCACTAATTATAGCCTTACCCATCAGTGTCCATCCCAGAAGAGTTTCCATAGCCACTAGTCCAGATTTCAGTTGAATCATATTTCCCGTGAATAGTTTACCCGCTATATCCGCTCCAATCAAAATACCAATTGGTAGCTTGGTCTCATGTATGTCAGTCAGAGAAACATTTTTCTCTATAAGTTCCTGTATCCAGGCACCTTCGGTAACTGGTGGAATTTCCCCACATATGGTAGTTTGACTCAATACCTCAAAGTTGCAGTTGTAACTGTAATCTTGACTGGTTAGAAACACACGATGTCTGTTATGAATTACTTCACCAGATTTGACATTACCAAAAAGAGAGTGTATGATTGTTTCTTCTCCTAAGCTTTCGTAATTCATTTTTTCAGCCAAGTCCTTTAAAATGTAAGAACGCTGTGAACCAGAATCAAAAAGAATGCGAACAGTCTCAAATTGATTACTACCTGGGGTTCTTAATCTTGCCTTTACTGTTTGCAGAAACACTTTCACTCTGCTACTTGATTTATTGGCCAAAGCGGTATCTTCCACTACTGTCATTTCTTTAGATACCTTATCAACACATTTGCTTACACACTCATTCACTACTTCTTTGGAATGAATACTAGGACACATTATAGGATAATGTTTCCTTTTACAATTAGAACATGACAAATGAGTTCTACAATCCTTAATACGGTGACCAGGCTGCAAGCAAAGGAAACAGCACCTCTTTTCCTTTAAAGTGGACACCTTATCAGACAATGGCAATTTCTGAGCAGCAAAACAGTTACTACTCTTATGATTCTTATCACAAAAGACACACTTTGTATAAGAGTTTTGAGTTTTACCAGAGGATATGAGGCATGAAGCTGTTGGTATGTCTATCTTACCTGATTGAGTTTGAGATGGCCTTTTAAAAGATTTCTCCTTCCCAGAGCTACTTATCCCAAAACCTGCCATGGCTAGACCGATTCTCTGTTCCCCTTCAACTTCAGACAGCATAAACTTCATTAAATTGTTGAGTCTTTCCTGAGGGTCTGTTCCTACTTTCAAAGGGCTTCTTTGCCAGGCCCTTAAGAGATCTTCAGGCATACAACTTTCAACTAACGGGTATAACATGGAGGAACATTTATCTGTTGTAACTCCCAAGGTATCTAATGCACGCATATGAGACTCAAGTTTGTCATATAAACTTTGTAAGTTCATTGTGTTTTTGCCTCCTAGAGCATTTTGTAAAACAATTTTTAAGAGTTCCCTGACATAAACCTCTACCAATAGGTCATCTTTACCAAATCTGGCTTTCAAACATTCAATTGCTTTTGGATAGTTTGCACCAGTCGGAGGAAAACTCTGAACTACATCAAAAGCTCTTGATCCGGTAACTATGGATTGCAATAAATATTGAAACTTATCCTCTGAATCAATGTCTGAGTCACTATGAATTTTGCTAAACTGACTCCAGAAAGGTAGCCAATTGATCAATTCTCCATCAAACTTTTTGATCTCTATTTTAGGGAGCTTAAATTTCTTCTTACTAGCATTGTTACAGCAAGATCCAGAATGAGCACTAACTACATCGTTACTTTGTTGTAGTAAATTCTGGACTCTTAATTTTACAGCTTCAAACAAAGCTAAATATTCTCCAGCTTTGATTGTTTCAGCTAACAGCTCATCTTCAGAAACATTATCATTATTCAATAACAAATCAAAGATCTGAGAATTCAAAACCTGGAGTTCATCAACCTTTATCTCCAAAAGCTTTAGAGTGGTTTGAATTTCAATTTTGTCTGTGGTTTCATTTTCAACTAAACTGTTTAGTTTGCTCAATGTTTTAGAAAAATAAGCCCTATATACTGTTCTATTTTTCTTTAGATTTTCCATCATAGAGATAGGTGAAAAAACAAGTCCTGTCACGGTCGCCAAATGTTGTTTTACACTACATATTCTACCTTCTTTAAGTGATGAAAACTATAAAGATAAAATTAGAAAAAACTAGACTTTTAAAACCACACTTCTATTTTCAACAACTCATATAAAACTATTATGACAACAACAAAACAAAACCAAACCATATGACAAATAAATTAAATCAAAGTTAATATTCATCATATATACAGACTAGGAGATATAACACCACGTACAGAATAACTAACACAAGTAAAATTAAATCCATAACATTTCCCAATTGACATTATATTTATATAAATAAAATGCAAGTAAACTTACTGCGTTGTGAGATTTTATTATAAAATTACTTAGTTAACACTATGTATTCTTCTGAGTCGACTATCAATCAATTTGCTCATTGCGGCTTTAAGACTGTAAATAAACTTACAACGAAACTAAGTAAATGAATAATTTAAAACCTGATATGCTTGGTACCATGAGTATAAAATTGAAAAAAAATAAAGACCGTGTCAATTAGGATGGCGTGTGTGAGTTGGATGAAGGAAAGGTTCCCAACAACATTGAGAATCACACTATACGCTAGTGTACATTTATTTATAGGTCATTAATTCATGAAATGGCTGTGCAAAATAACAAAAGAGACGGTGGAAGAAGTGCTATTTCGCACATACTCATCCCACTGGCCAATGTAATTGACACGATCTATACTGTGCTAGTTTTGGTCCACCCTGGGGGTCCATTCCCAGTACCCGCCATGTCTGACGAGCCTTCCCCTATCCGCCACCTGGGGAGGCGCCCGATAGGAGACTAGCAACTCCACACGGGAAAAATGTGGTAGAGGTGGGCAGAATCATTTCTACAACATTTAACCGTTCCATTGTGAGTTTATAAAGTAAAAGAAGTCACAAAGCACGATACCCGCTGTGGAATGTGTTGCTAGACATTAAACATGGTATTTTCCAAAGACTTCCATGCTTTTTAGGGATACTACATAACTTTCACTCTTCCAATAGCTCAGATTAATTTATATTTACAAATAAAAAAACACAGGCAGGGTATAATATTTCCGCTGCTTCCCAAAAGATATTCTAGTGCTACTCCCAAGGATAAAAAATGACTCCGAAAATATACATTTTGTACTGATATAGTACTTCTGTTGATTCCGGCCACCTCTAATACTTAACCTAACTTGACTAACTTATACTTTCTATGAAGGTGTAGCCATAGAGATTAGTTATCTTATAACAATAAGGGTATTTTCAAAAAGATATAGTAATCAAAATAATGTATATCCTCGAAAATTAATTACTCCCTAATAAAATATTTAAACGAATGCAGGAAGTTTAATCTCTATATGCACACCTGTCAATAATATATAGTTGACTGCAATATATAATGAAGGCCCAGATTTACAAAGGTAATATGTACATTAGTACGTTAGTGAACTGATTTAATATCCTAACAAACTAAAAATAGACTATTTAAAAAAATACTACAGAGCCTTTCAAAGATTGAATAGTAAATTAATAATACTGAAATTAATAGAATAACACATATTACTAAGGCCAAGATACCAGCCTATACAAATAAAGATAATTAAATTTAGTAAAACAAATAATCGGTATCATAATTTAAACCAAAGAAACCAACCTTTATTAGTAACGCTGCAGAAGTCACAGTAGGTTTCTTAGTTCATATCAACTAAACTTTACAACTCTGAACTCTTTTTACACTATTCACGGTTCCGAAGTTAACGAAAATATAACATTGCTATATCTGCACAACATATATATATATTAATTTAAATTTTATTTCAAGTCACTCTTTAACCATTACCAGGTACTAGGAAATTTCACAGTAAAGCCAATTCAGAGAATTTATGTTGGCAGATATATTTCCTTGTATCCAGGCTAAATTAAAACACATAAATCTAAGATAAACAAAAATAAATACTTCCTACCTTTGGTTGGCTTCAGCTGAAACTTGACCAATACGATGTGAACAAAGGCATTTATATGAATTTTGCATTGCGTTTTCTCCAATGCTTATTTAGGAACCCTGAGATCTTTACATCTGTGTTGCTTAAAACTACCAGCTATTTATCAAGGTATGGCCTGCACTATAATTAACCTGTATATACATTATATATGTTTTCCCAAAACCAATACACCAATGGACCCATGCATAGCCTCCTCTAATAAAATATTTGGTTTTTACGTAGCCTTTCATCAGTTTCAAAAGGATTTTTATTTTACAGTTCCGGGGCTACAACAATAAATTTCAGGGTTTAGCCAAACCCATGTAAATTTTTTTTATTTCACTTTAGGGCCTACTACCAAAAAGTAAGATAAAACCAAATCAATTTACAAATTTCAAAAAGTTAATAGTCTAAATCCGCATTCTATATCCAAGTAATTTCGTTTTGGATTTATTTTAGACAGATTTTACAGTTTTACTGTCTTGATTTAAAAATATGAATTCGATATTTGTCCGTTTCATACTATTTGTAATTCTCCTTTAATCAATTTGTGCAATGAAAGGATTAATTAACCTTATGATTGTTAGAGTATCATTGATTTTTCCTAATGATGGTTACTGTTCACATCATATTGGACTTTTATTAGCAAGACACAAGACACAAACAGTGAAATAACGAAGAAAAATCATACCAAGATACATATATACAACATTTTCAGACACAACAATAGAATAAAATGCTGCTTAAAAACGTAGACACAAGACATTTTATTTTCGACGACTTAAAATTTAAATTTTCAGCGTCGATTTAAACAACGTATCGATACAAAAATCATCCGGAGTGTTGTTGAGTTATATACAAAATTGTGTTTGTCGATAGTCTTCTTTCCGTTGACATTTTGGTTAACTGGCCAACAATGACAACTGTCAAACAAATCTTCCCTTCCAGCGGTTGAAATAGTACCATTTTTTTTATTCGTCGATTTTTTTATTTTTTCTATTAGCTGCTTCAAAGTGGAGAACGTACTCGTATAGAAAACCTACCCGAAGCCTGGATACAAGTAAAATCATACACTCAGAGATATAAATTCTTACCTTTGGTACGACTGCAACCACTAACCTGCAAACAAAGTTGTTTTTAATTGGTGCATTTGAATAAGCTTTAAAAGCTTATCTAAGGTAAGTACCACAACAGGTAACAGCATTTAGTATGCCTATACCTACTGGGTGTATTTTCTAAGGTTATATAATTTTTATATTAAACCATTGAAATTATGACACAAAATACTGGGACATTTTCCTACTAAATTGGAGCCACAACAGCTAATGCTTGCTTGCAATTCCTTCTATAAATATTCTATTGACAATTTCAACGCATAGATGCAATGTAATTTATTTTTGAAATGATAACAACTTATTCGACAGAACCGAGAATTCATTTATGGTTTTTAAAAGCTTAATAATTCACGTTCTTTTAAACAGAGCATACGTAAATATAGGGAATAAAATATAATACTTATGATTTTCTTAAGATAATACCCACGAAGTATCTTCATTTTAAGTGGCTTCAATTTTACTTAATCAATAATTCCATAAAATCTATATTACTTTCTTTTATACAAAATCACACTTAAAAACAGAGCAACTAAATAGGTACCCTTGGTATTTATAATATTCTTGTAAATGTGTCTAATGTTTGGATTAAGTCAAGGCTTAATCACAATTTAAAACGACACCTTCAATAAGTTTTGTTTAGTTGCTGCAAATGTAGAATTAGTAATTTATGTACTCCCCAACGCCAACAATCAACACTATCAACAATCAACAATTTTAATACTATCAAGTAGTCACAGATGGTAAGTAATGCAAAAGGTTAAGCCAATAATTCCGAAATTTAATAAAACTAAAATTTTACAAGGTCTTACTTTTTTACAACTATTACTATGAAGGTCTAATAAAAATGCTATGTTAATATTTTACCAAAATGTTGAAAATAATTGCAAAAGTTTGTGAGCTTAGCAGGAATATTAGTTTTATCATTAGAAGTACCATTATCAAATGTTATTCAGTTGTTTTAGTAGGCCTAAATAAAGGACTGATTTAGCGAAAACCTAATTAGTCATTTTCTAATACAAAATAAGCCATATTAATGATATAGCCATTATTTAATCATTCTTATTTACCGTAAAGTAGGGTATTATCATAAAATAACAAGTAGACTATTGCGTATTCAACTTTGATTTGATTTTCTCTGTAGAATTTAAGCTTGTTTAATAATGTTGAATAGTTAAAAAATACTTACCAGAATTAATACTGCAATGAATCGTCATAACAAAGATGCACGTCGTAACGGAAAATCTGCATAAATAATATCACTGAATGAGTCACTTGACACCAACACTTTTCACTACTTGTATACTAAAACACACTCACAAACACTACGCGATACAGATACTAACATTCACTACAAGGACACTACGAATACTACGCGTAGTGCGTAGTAACATGAAATACATCGTACAGTTCAACGACAGTTACAAGACAACAATGGACCAATAAGAAACGATCACGTCATGCGAGT